AATTGTTTTAACAAAACTCGACGAAACAATGCCTTTTACATTAAGACGACGACAATTCCCAATTAGACCATGTTATGCGATGACTATTAACAAAAGCCAAGGTCAAACATTAAACAAAGTTGCAATTCATTTAGAAAAAGATGTTTTTAGCCATGGTCAACTGTATGTTGCCTTATCGCGTGTTACATCTAAACAATCATTAAGAATTTTTACTAAACAATGTGGAAATAAATATTATGCAAAAAATGTAGTGTACGAAGAAGTCTTTAAACATGATATCCCAAATGTTCAAAATATAAAACACAAAGTAGATGAAACAGAAAATAACTTATTACTTTCACCTATTAAAAAAATTAAAATTTCAGAACATCAATCAGATTCAGAGACTGAGATGAGTATTGATTCTCCACTAACCAGTATTGAAGACCAGAGTATATTTATTTTAAATTATGTGAACCAGGTACTAAACATGACAAATTATTGTGATCTATTGAATCAATTTTTTAATGAACATGAAGTTACTTTAAATAATATTAACGATTTATTACAAAACAAAATACCAATTATTGCTGAAGAATGTAATAATCAATCACTACTAACAGGACATAGAGATGTTGTTCCCAATTGTATGAGAAATTCATTTAATTCATATGACGTTCTAGGAGATGGTTCATGCTTTTATTATTGCGTATCATTAGCGTTATTCGGAACAACAGAATATTTTAATATTATACGTCTTGCAAGTGTTGTTGCAATGTTCAAATATTCTGAATACTTTAATAGTTTCTCCAATTTATACGGTTCAAATGTCTTACAAGAATTAAAAAACACCTCATCAATAGGAGGATGGGCATATAATTCATCCATTTTAGCAACATCGATTGCAATTAACAAACCAATCAATACTTTTATTAATGGAGCCTCACAACATAGAAAATTGTATTCACCATCTTTGAATGCTGAAAGTTTGCCTCCAATATTTTTAGCTCATGTGCCTGTGAATCCAAAAGGAACTGATCCTAATCATTATCACGCATTAATACCTATTGGCTCAAATTATGAACTCCCAAATGTTGGAACCCGTGACTTAAGATTTGATTTTCAAAACATGGACCCAATATATCCGGTTAATTAAATATGTTTGTCTATTTTAACTTCAAACAATAACTAATCAGATGGCTGTAACTAGTAATACATTAATAGACGTATAGTTAGTTAAAAATGAATTAAAAAACTTATTTGAATTTTATTTAACCAAAACTTTAAAAGTTTGTATGAATTTAGCACTCAATACAACCAATAGTGACATCAAATGGCAAACACAGGCACTGCACACATCATTGTAACGCACGTGCGATCGCAACAAAGGCATAACTACATCAAAATAATAGGCGTTTAAATCATATAAACAATAAGATTGAGTTAAGCCCTTATTGCATTCACATGTACTACATATGCCATACAACTTGTATACAAAACAAATTCACATGTGTTTTGTGATTAAGTGTAATATTTATCGCAATTAAAACCAAATTATCATAAATAATGACCGAAGAGGACGGCGGAGGACAGAGTGGACCGAAAAGAGCGCGAAGTGATGGCCAGAAGGCGAGGCGGAAGAAGTTCTTCGACGGCCAGAAGCGACAAAAGCGGCCAAAAGTTATGCTAACTTTCGATACGGACGACAGAAAATCATTTTTAACCGGTATTTGTTTAGCCCCCACCCCTCCACCCTTTCCCCCCTCTGTGCTGATGACCACCAACTGATCCCATTGTCTCTCTTACTCTTCGCCCACAGGTTTCCAGAAACGTAAAGCCGAGCGTAAACTGAAGGCCAAACACGTGTTAGACGAAGAGCTCCGGGAGGAGAGGTTGCGGGCGAAGCAGCGCCAAAAGGACCGGCTGTTGAAACTGTACGACAGTCAACGCCCGACGGAAGACATCGCGGCGATGGCTCTCCCGGCGGAGACCACCGAAACGTACGAACTGCCCAAACAGTTTGTCAGTATCACCACATTTGATCCCAAAGACATGTCCGGCAGTTTGGGTCTGAGTTTAGGCCATAATAACGATAACACTGGCGGCGATCAGTTGGCGGTCACCACCAGTGGTGCCCATCAATCGGATTCTGAGGCCGACAGTAGTGATAGTGGTGTGAAGAGTACCGCCCGCTCGGCCTCTGAGCTGAGGCAGCAGATACTGGACGCCCGGAAGGCCAACAAAATGGAGGCATTGAAGAGTCTGAAGACGAATAAGGCTTACCAGAGGAGGGAGAAGGAGAAGCACCGGAAGGACGTGTCGTCCGCTAAACAGAAGCGAAAAGAAATGCGAAAAGAGATGAAAAATATGAAACAAAAGACACTTTTGAAGCGACAAATGAAGAACAAGAAGAACAATAAGAAGGAGAGGAGACGGAGACCTAAACCTAAGAAGAATAAGTGATATCTCTTTTTGTGGTCTCTTTTTATGTCCCGATATTTGTCTGTATTTTGTTTCTCATTATTTGTTTGTTTTATAAATGTTTTTATTGATTAATGAATTGGTTTAAGATTTTGAGTACAGAATTAGTTTTGTTTTTCCAAACTTATGAATAGGAAATAATGTTAAAAATAAACGATAATTATTATACGTTTAAACAGTTTGTGAGCAATTGGTTGATCAACAGTTGAATTGATATATAATTAGTTAAGAATAAGTAAACGGATCTTTCAATAGTTTACACCAATGAGTAAAACATGCGTCCATTAGTACACTATTGAGACGATTGAACACATCGTTGAGAGATTCAAGAGTACAGAAAATTGCGGCAATATTTTGAGCCGCAGTGACACTCAATGCGATTTAAGGCCAACCGCTCGGGTCTGTCGGCAGCGGGTCTGCTCTCACCGCCACCATTGGCCACACCAGTGGACACGTCGTTATCATTACTGTCTTCCTCTTCAGTCAAATCAATTGTTGTATTGAATCCATCGCCAGCGCTGTTCAACAATTGGCTGTTACTGTCGGGCGAATTCTTAAGTCCACTGCCGTAATCATAGGTCAACTCTTCGTACGGTTTGATCTCTTTGATGGTGAAGAGGGAAACAGTCGGCAACTGTTTGTTATCCGAGTGGATGTATGAGTAGAAGACCTTGCAGTTGGGATCGCACGAGTGGTTTATGAAACGGCTGACGTTACCCTTCTTGTAGGCGTCGATCACATACTGATTGGCCCGATTGCCAACTGTCCCAATATAAGGGCATTCCGGCCAATTTGCGTCAAACAAGTATATGTTGGACCGATTGTTAGCCTCTGTCGATGATATGATTTCGCCCGAATAGTTGGACACGAATGCGCCGCTCGGTATGGGATCCAGCGATCGCACGGCCCAACCCCTGGTGACCGCGTCCGGCGGCCGATAGATCTCCAGCCGATACTGACGGCCGCGTTGTATCACACGATTGGGACACTCGGCACCGCATCGGCACTTGTGGGTACACTCGAAGATCATTGGATTAGGAATTTCTTTTAGAAGATACTTCCGGTGCAAACCCTTGCCGTCGTAGACCATCGCGAAACCGGGTGGCAGACAACACGTGAGCCGTTCATCGTAACAGTTCTCGCATTCACATAAGCGAAGCGTATACTTCTCGGCGTCGGTGGCCGTAGACATCGGCAACAGTGACACGCATTCGCCGACATATTCCTCCAATTCAGGCACTTCCAGGTCGTAATCGTTGGACACCGATATCTCGACGCCTTCGCGCTTATCGGCGATCACTTTATTACACGTGAGGGCGAATCGGGCCAATCGAGCGGGCATTTCGAACCGCCGGTCGATGAACTCAAACCAATCGGTAAGCGTTGGGAAGTCGTTGGCCTTCAGCCGCAACTGTTTGGCCACGTTTTCAACTTCCTTCATCGCCCGATGCCTATCGGGATTACTGTTGCGATCAAACGTTAGGGTAAAAAATGTGCCAATTTTTTTCTCAATATCTCTCTTCAATCGGTTCATCAGATTAGATGTTGAGCGGAGTTTGTGGTCAGACAAGCGGTACAGTACGGCCGAGTCGTCGAACCCCGGGCTCACCACTAGCTTCAGGTATTTGGTAAACTCGTCCAACTCTTCCCACGACTCCTTCGGCGGGTGTCGGCCGTTGACAGTCTCGCTGCGGAACCGCTGCAACAACTCCTGACAGTCGGTGACGTGTGTCTCAAACTTCCAGCTGTTCTTCTCTTCGGGAAAGTCTTTCCATTTCAACAGATACTGAATCTGACCGCTCGAGTGGATGTGATGGTCGCGGATCTCTTCCACGCACTTCTTGCCGGAGGTGTTGACGCTCTCCGCGCGCCTCGAAGTCGCCGATGTGTTGACCGCATAACTAATTGGTTGCATCGGTTGACTCGTATTCGGCCACACATTGGACTTTGATTTACTTCTTATAGTATTGGTGTCAACCGTGTCTCGCCATTCATTGGATGTGATTCGAAGATTTGTGATATTATTTACCAGCGATTCATCAACTCTTGTCAATTCTTCCTCTTCTTCTTGTTCTACTTCTTCTAAAGTATAACTTTCGCCGACGTATTGCTCCAATTCAGGCACTTCCAGGTCGTAATCGTTGGACACCGATATCTCGAGGCCTTCGCGCTTCTTAGCGATCTCTTTATTACAGGTGGCGGCCAATCGATCGGCCAATTCGTGCCGCCAGTCGATGAAATCAAACCAATCGGTAAGCGTTGGGAAGCCGTTGGCCTCCAGTTTCAAGCGTTTGGCCACGTCTTTGACGGCTTGCATCGCCCGATGCCTCTCGAGGTTTGTCTTGCGGTCAAACTTCTGGCCAAAAAAGTCGCGCACTTTTGCCTCGATGTTTGTCTTAAGAGTGATCACTAGCTTCTGATTGGCTCGCAGTTCGGCGACAGTGTGTTTCCGGTGGGACAGGCGGTAGAGTACGGCCAGGTCGTTATACCCCGGGCTCACCACTAGCTTAAGGTATTTGGTAAACGCGTCCAACTCTTCCCACGACAACTCCCAGCTGTTCTCTTCGGGACAGCCCTTGCATTTCAACAGAGACTGGATCTGACCGTTCGAGCCGATGCTGTGGTCGCGAATCCCATCCACACACGAGACTCCATAGGAATGCAGGAAATACTCGGGTATTTCGTCCATTGAATCCATGTCTAAATCAATGGTTACGACTCTTTTGTCGGCATTACTCACTAATGTCTCACTGGTTGGCGACGGGCTGTTGAAGGGATGTTCCGCCACTCGTTTGCGACTGTCGTCGCTGACCAGCGATGTGTCGCCGGCAGCGCATCCCTTCGACTTCGGGAACAGTGTGTTGTCGTACACGCATTCGCCGACGTATTGCTCCAAAACAGGCACTTCCAGGTCGTAATCGTTGGTCACCGATATCTTGAGGCCTTCGCGCTTATCGGCGATCACTTTATTACACGTGAGGGCGAATCGGGACAATCCAGCGGACACTTCGGACTGCCGGTCAATGAACTCGAACCACTCGGTCAGCGTCTCGAAGCCGTTGGCCTCCAGCCGTAAATGTTGGGCCACCTCTTGGACGGCGTCCATCGCTTGAAGTCTCTCTTCATTACTATTGCGGTCAAACTCTAGGGTAAAAAAGTGGCCAATTTTTCTCTTCATTTCTCTCTTCCATTGTTTCACGAGCTTCGGTGCGGAGCGGAGTTCGGCGACAGTGTGTTTGTGGTCAGACATGCGGTGGAGTACCGCCAAGTCCTGCAACCCTTGGCCGACCGTCCACTCGACGTAATCGACAAACTTGTCGTACTCTTCCCACGACTCCTTCGGCGGGTGTCGGCCGTTGACAGTCTCGCTGCGGAACCGCTGCAACAACTCGTGACAGTCGGTGACGTCTGTCTCCAACTGCCAGCTGTTCTCCTCTTCGGGATAGTCTTCCCATTTCAACAGATACTGCATCTGACCGTTCGGGTGGAGGCAGTGATCGCGTATCTCTTCCACGTAGTACTCGCCGGCGGTGAGGACGGCCTCCGCGCCCGAAGTCGTCGATTCTCGCGATTCATTGGCTGTAATGCAAAGATTTGTGATATTGTTTACCACCGATTCATAAATGATTGCGAATTCTTCGTCTCCTTCCTCTTCAGACATCTCAGCAAATTGTGGACACAATTAAAACAATTCACGTAATGTGTGTTGAGGTCTGAATGACACACTCGTGTCCACACGTGTCCTAATGTTTGACAAGAAATGTCTATTTCAACCGTTTTTGGCAAAAAACAACTTTAAAATAAATGTACGGTTTCTATAAAAAGCACACAAATTCATGCAATAAGTAAAGCATTAATTTTTTTATTTGTAAAGACTTTGGTTTTAATATATAAGAAACTTAAAGTGAAGCGTAAAATACATTATAAAATCAAATGGTATAACAATTATAGTTAGCATTAATCACTATTAAAAGTGGTTTAATTGAAATATTCACGTTAAGTTTTTTTTATTTATGATTTATTTAATAATTAAAAAGTTATCGATAATTACAAAACAGCATTACAAAGGTTTTTATGGCAACAATTGATTACTAAACTCTTTGGTATATAACTTGGTATTAATTATCTTACGATAAGCTCTTAAGAAGACATTTTATTTGCCATTAATTAGAAATTTAAAATCAATTAAATTCATTGTTTTATTTGTAAAAAAACTTTGGTTTTTATATATAAGAAACTTAAAGTGAAGCGTAAAATACATAATCAAATCAAACGCTATAACAATTATATTTAACATTAGTGGTAATGTTTACTGTTATAGTGTATACCTCTGTATAATAAACTGCGGATTTAATGACATATAAATTTCAATGGTATTTAAAGCAATATAAGTATTGAATAATGAATAGAATTTCAAGAACAACTCATAAAAACATATTAAAGCACATGAAATGACAGAATAATTGAAATATTAATAACAAATAGTTAATTACGATATAAGTAAACGTAACTCTCAATAGTGTACACAAATGAGTAAAACATGCGTCCATTGCGTACACTATTGAGACAATTGAAGACATCTTTGAGAGATTCAAGAGTAGAGATATTTGCGACAATACTTTGACCCGCAGTGACACTCAATGCGATTTAAGGTCAAGCGCTCGGGTCTGTCGGCAGCGGGTCTGGTCTTACCACCACCATTGGCCACACCATTAGATATACCACTGGACTCGCCATTGACCACACCATTGGATACGCCATTACTCACGCCATTAGACATCCCCTTTGCCACACCATTACAATTGCCATTACTGTCCACCTCTTGGCTCACATCCATTGTCGCTGTTTTATAGCTACCGCTAGCGCTGCTCACGGATTGGGTGTCGTCAGTGCCGCTGAAGTCGTACATATCGATGAGTTGATTGCCGTAATCATAGGTGAGCTCTTCGTACGGTTTGATCGCACGGGTGGTGAACAGCGAAACAGTCGGCAACTGTTTGTTATACGAGCGGACGTATGAGTAGAGGCCGCGGCAGTTGGGTTCGCACGAGTGGTTAATAAAACGGCTGACGTTACCGCACTTGTCGGCGTCGATCACATATGTATACTCGTTGTCCCGATCGTCGATAGTGGCCGACAAGTCGAACAGGTATGTCGTCGACCGGGTGTTGGCCTCAATCAGCGACACCACTTCGCCCGAGTAGTTGGACACGAATGCGCCGCTCGGTATGCGCTCCAGCGCTCGCACCGCCCAACCCCTCACAGCCGCGTCCGGCGGCCGATAGATCTCCAGCCGATACTGACGGCCGCGTTGTATCACACGATTGGGACAATCGGCGCCGCACTTGCACTTGTCATTACACTCGAAGATCACTGGATTAGCGATTTCTTGTAGAATATTCTTCCGAAGCAAACCCTTCCGGTCGTAGACCATCGGGAAGCCGATGACAGCCGTACAGCACTCGTCCCTCTCGTCGAAACAGTCGCCGCATTCACACGAGTGAATCGTATACTTCTCGGCGTCGGTGGCCGTCAACTTCGGGTACAGTTTCCTGTCGTACACGCATTCGCCGACGTATTGCTCCAATTCAGGCACTTCCAGGTCGTAATCGTTGGC